AATTGCCGTATCTAATCTTAAAATAAAGAGACTAAACTACGAAATGCCGTATTTAATATTAAAATAAAGTGTCTAAACTACGAATTGCCGTATTTTATGTTAAATTAAAATGACTAAACTGCGAATTGCCGTTATATAATGTTAAATTAAAATGACTAAACTACGAATTGCCGTAATTAATGTTAAATTAAATTTTCTAAACAGTATATTATGTTAAATTAAAATGACTAAACTACGAATTGCGGTCTATAATGTTAAATTAAATTAAGTAAACTACGAATTGCCATATATAATGTTTAAATATAATGAATAAACTACGAATTGCGGTATTTAATGTTAAATTAAAATGAATAAATTACGAATTGCCGTATTTTATGTTAAATTAAAATGACTAAACTGCGAATTGCGGTATTTAATGTTAAAATAAAATGACTAAACTGCGAATTGCCGCATTTAATGTTAAAATAAACTGCCTAAACTGCGAATTGCCGCATTTAATGATAAATTAAAATTAGTAAACTACGAATTGCCGTTATATAATGTTAAATTAAAATGACTAAACAACGAATTGCCGTAATTAATGAGTATATTATATTAAATTAAATAGACTAAACTACGAATTGCCATATTTAATGTTAAATTATAATGACTAAACTACGAATTGCGGTTTATAATTTTAAATTAAATTAAGTAAACTACGAATTGCCGTATTTAATGTTAAATTAAATTGTCTAAACAGTATATGATGTTAAAATAAAATGACTAAACTGCGAATTGCCGTTATATAATGTTTAATTATATACACTAAACTACTAATTGCGATTGTTAATGTTAAATTATAATGACTAAACTACGAATTGCCGTATATAATGTTAAATTAAATTTTCTAAACAGTATATGATGTTAAATTAAAATGACTAAACTGCGAATTGCCGTATATAATGTTAAATTAAAATGACTAAACTACGAATTGCCGTAATTAATGTTAAAATAAGGTGACTAAACTACGAATTGCCGTATCTAATCTTAAAATAAAGAGACTAAACTACGAATTGCCGTATTTAATATTAAAATAAAGTGACTAAACTACGAATTGCCGTATTTTATGTTAAATTAAAATGACTAAACTGCGAATTGCCATTATATAATGTTAAATTAAAATGACTAAACTACGAATTGCCGTAATTAATGTTAAATTAAATTTTCTAAACAGTATATTATGTTAAATTAAAATGACTCGAATTGCGGTTTATAATGTTAAATTAAATTAAGTAAACTACGAATTGCCATATTTAATGTTAAATTAAAATGACTAATCTACGAATTGCCGTAATTAATGTTAAATTTTCTAAACAGTATTTAATGTTTAATTATAATGACTAAACTGCGAATTGCCGTTATATAATGTTAAATTAAAATGACTAAACTACTAATTGCCGTAATTAATGTTAAATTATATTTTCTAAACAGTATATGATGTTAAATTATAATGACTAAACTGCCAATTGCCGTATTTAATGTTTAATTATAATGACTAAACTACGAATTGCGGTTGTTGATGTTAAATTATAATGAGTAAACTACGAATTGCCATATTTAATGTTAAATTAAAATGACTAAACTAAGCATTGCCGTAATTAATGTTAAATTAAATTTTCTAAACAGTATATTATGTTAAATTAAAATGACTAATCTACGAATTGCGGTTTATAATGTTAAATTAAATTAAGTAAACTACGAATTGCCGTATTTAATGTTAAATTAAAATGTCTAAACAGTATATGATGTTAAAATAAAATGACTAAACTGCGAATTGCCGTTATATAATGTTAAATTATAATGACTAAACTACCAATTGCGGTTGTTAATGTTAAATTATAATGACTAAACTACCAATTGCTGTAATTAATGTTAAATTAAAATGACTAAACTACGAATTGCCGTATTTAATGTTAAAATAAAATAAATAAACTGCGAATTGCTGTATTTAATGTTAAAATAAAATGACTAAACTGCGAATTGCCGTATTTAATGATAAATTAAAATGAGTAAACTACGAATTGCCATATATAATGTTTAAATATAATAAATAAACTACGAATTGCGGTATTTAATGTTAAATTAAAATGAATAAATTACGAATTGCCGTATTTTATTAAATTAAAATGACTAAACTGCGAATTGCCGTATTTAATGTTAAAATAAAATGACTAAACTGCGAATTGCCGCATTTAATGTTAAAATAAAATGCCTAAACTGCGAATTGCCGCATTTAATGATAAATTAAAATTAGTAAACTACGAATTGCCGTTATATAATGTTAAATTAAAATGACTAAACAACGAATTGCCGTAATGAGTATATTATGTTAAATTAAATTGACTAAACTACGAATTGCCATATTTAATGTTAAATTATAATGACTAAACTACGAATTGCGGTTTATAATCTTAAATTAAATTAAGTAAACTACGAATTACCGTATTTAATGTTAAATTAAATTGTCTAAACAGTATATGATGTTAAAATAAAATGACTAAACTGCGAATTGCCGTTATATAATGTTTAATTATATACACTAAACTACTAATTGCGATTGTTAATGTTAAATTATAATGACTAAACTACGAATTGCCGTATATAATGTTAAATTAAATTTTCTAAACAGTATATGATGTTAAATTAAAATGACTAAACTGCGAATTGCCGTATATAATGTTAAATTAAAATGACTAAACTGCGAATTGCCGTATATAATGTTAAATTAAAATGACTAAACTACGAATTGCCGTATTTAATGTTAAAATAAAGTGACTAAACTACTAATTGCCGTATCTAATCTTAAAATAAAGAGACTAAACTACGAATTGCCGTATTTAATATTAAAATAAAGTGACTAAACTACGAATTGCCGTATTTTATGCTAAATTAAAATGACTAAACTGCGAATTGCCATTATATAATGTTAAATTAAAATGACTAAACTACGAATTGCCGTAATTAATGTTAAATTAAATTTTCTAAACAGTATATTATGTTAAATTAAAATGACTAAACTACGAATTGCGGTTTATAATGTTAAATTAAATTAAGTAAAATACGAATTGCCGTATTTAATGTTAAATTAAAATGACTAAACTACGAATTGCCGTAATTAATGTTAAATTAAATTTTCTAAACAGTATATGATGTTAAATTAAAATGACTAAACTGCGAATTGCCGTATTATATGTTAAATAAAAATGACTAAACTACGAATTGCGGTTGTTAATGTTAAATTATAATTAGTAAACTACGAATTGCCATATTTAATGTTAAATTAAAATGACTAAACTACGAATTGCCGTAATTAATGTTAAATTTTCTAAACAGTATTTAATGTTTAATTATAATGACTAAACTGCGAATTGCCGTTATATAATGTTAAATTAAGATGACTAAACTACTAATTGCCTTAATTAATGTTAAATTATATTTTCTAAACAGTATATGATGTTAAATTAAAATGACTAAACTGCCAATTGCCGTATTTAATGTTTAATTATAATGACTAAACTACGAATTGCGGTTGTTGATGTTAAATTATAATGAGTAAACTACGAATTGCCATATTTAATGTTAAATTAAAATGACTAAACTACGCATTGCCGTAATTAATGTTAAATTAAATTTTCTAAACAGTATATTATGTTAAATTAAAATGACTAATCTACGAATTGCGGTTTATAATGTTAAATTAAATTAAGTAAACTACGAATTGCCGTATTTAATGTTAAATTAAAATGTCTAAACAGTATATGATGTTAAAATAAAATGACTAAACTGCGAATTGCCGTTATATAATGTTTAATTATATACACTAAACTACTAATTGCGATTGTTAATGTTAAATTATAATGACTAAACTACGAATTGCCGTATATAATGTTAAATTAAATTTTCTAAACAGTATATGATGTTAAATTAAAATGATTAAACTGCGAATTGCCGTATATAATGTTAAATTAAAATGACTAAACTACGAATTGCCGTAATTAATGTTAAATTATATTTTCTAAACAGTATATGATGTTAAATTAAAATGACTAAACTGCCAATTGCCGTATTTAATGTTTAATTATAATGACTAAACTACGAATTGCGGTTGTTGATGTTAAATTATAATGAGTAAACTACGAATTGCCATATTTAATGTTAAATTAAAATGACTAAACTACGCATTGCCGTAATTAATGTTAAATTAAATTTTCTAAACAGTATATTATGTTAAATTAAAATGACTAAACTACGAATTGCGGTTTATAATGTTAAATTAAATTAAGTAAATTACGAATTGCCGTATTTAATGTTAAATTAAAATGTCTAAACAGTATATGATGTTAAAATAAAATGACTAAACCGTGAATTGCCGTTATATAATGTTAAATTATAATGACTAAACTACTAATTGCGATTTTTAATGTTAAATTATAATGACTAAACTACGAATTGTGGTTGTTAATTATAATGACTAAACTACTAATAGCCGTATATAATGTTAAATTAAATTTTCTAAACAGTATATGATGTTAAATTAATATGACTAAACTGCGAATTGCCGTATTTAATGTTAAAATAAAATGACTAAACTGCGAATTGCCGTATTTAATGATATATTAAAATTAGTAAACGACGAAGTGCCTTATATAATGGTTTATTATAATGAATAAACTACGAATTGCGGTATTTAATGTTAAATTAAAATAACTAAACTACGAATTGCCTTATATAAGGTAAAATTAAAATAACTAAACTAAGAATTGCCGTAATTAACGTTATATTATGATAACTTAACTGTGATATAAACAAAATGATGATAATAAATAAACTTCGGCAATCAAATTAGATTTTATCAACTATTTTACCATACATTTACACTATATTTCCTTGAAAACAAAATTTAAACATTAACACCTATTATAATATATCATTTTATTCTTATTATATTTATAAAATTGACTACAATTTTGATCATTTATAGACATAATCCTCTCTATATATCAAAAAAAAAAGACTATTTAGATATTAATTAGGTTATTTATTTTACAATTTCAACATATAAGAATAAAAAAAATGTAAATATATATTTAGAAAATAACATAATTATTGACCCATTATTTTTTAAATATATATATTTATTATAAATAATTAATTTAGTTCATAAATTTACAAAATATACATTCATTAATTTTCAAAAAATTACATAACTAAAATAGTAAAATATTTAATAAGTTGTTTTGATCATCATGCTGGGAACCTTTTTAACTCCATACGAAATTTTCATACGAGGCTTTTATGAATGCATTTTATAAAATATATATTTTGTGTCATAATTTTAAAATGAAAATAAGTTATACCATAAATCCTTTTGTCTTATTCGAAGCTCGGGTAGGTAGATCCGAATTACGCTTAGATTCATATATCAATTCCCTCTAATATTCTTTGTCGATCATTCTAATAACATATTAAAATGTCATATTTTTAAAATAAAATTAGTGAGTGGTATGCCATGGCTAAAAGAATCTCAATATTTCTAAATTTATTAATTCCCCTCTTATTTATCTTGTACACTATGTGTATTTTAATATAAATTAATACCTATAAACCTGAAAAATTATCTCAAATTATTAAAATATTTTACAAATATATTTTGCATTTAACATTAATTCAATTATATAGAGATAACAGAAATGTTAAAATAAATTTAATTCGGTGAGCGGGTCAAGTCATATTATTCAAAATTAGAACATATATAAATTGGTAGGACAATTTTTTAATGAGCAAATTTTTAAAACAAAAGACGTGGTAGCCGATTTTATTTAGAAATTATCTCAATGAAGACCTCTAATCTTCGATCATAATAAATCTCACTATATTCATATTATATATTATATAATATATTTATAAAGAAAAATAAATATAATACAAAAAATTAATTTACCATCATCGTTAGTACCATATTAATTTATCAGTGCTACATAACTATCTACGGTGGCCTTTTTCCCCTCATAATTTTTTTCACATTCAAATCACTTATTTTATGTCCCTATGACTTTTATCGGTATGGACATATATATCGTGCCTTCATCACATTTCTCATCATGGAAAATATAAATATTATCATCTGTAATCTTATATATAATTATATTAATATCTTGATACCTAACAAATTATCTCAAATTATTATAAATTAAACTTTGAATCTAATATTAAATCAATCAAATAATTATAGAGGTATATTACGGGCAGGTTACAATATATTTAAATATTTAGTAGGCGTCATATATATTTAAAAAATTCCCCATTAAGCCCTATAAACCTTGCTATATTGTTTTTGTTTATTCAATAAAATTATAAATAAATAAGAATATAATTTACCAAGATTTAATTGCCATAATGCGAGGGTCAATCGACAGATATCGAAACTATGTAAATCTTTGTCTCCTCATAGTTTTTATCCCCAATAAAAGCATTAATTTGGTGTCCCATATTCGATCTCGTCATAGAATACATTTTAGTGCTTTAATGACCTTTCTCGCCATAAATTATTTATTTTATCTCCTCATGATCTATCACGCCATCAAAAGCACATATGTTTTTCGTGATCCTTCACGCCATATTATTTAATAAACTTTATAATTTTTTTTAAAATTTTCTAGATCTTCTAAATTGAGATAGTTTTTTCGAACCTTTAGGTCTCATCAGCGTTATTTTACCATATGACGATGTAATATATTTAGAGATTGTTGTTGATTTATGATTATTTGAACCTACTTCAGCTGTAGATTCCTTTACAAATTTTAAAAGGGATACCCTATCATGTTTACTTAAATCACAATCGATATAATAATCTCCTAGTCCAATTACTGCTCGTTCTAATTCTTTTTCATAGTAAAAGACTTGGTCGGATATAATGGTTATTAATGTATGCAAAGGAACAACCTTTTTTATCATCATCTTTAGGACACTATTCATTGATTCACTGTTGTTATTAGTATAAACTTGTGATATAAACTTGTTCTTTAAAGGTATATACACGTATTCATAAAGTTTTTTTTCGAAACTTTTAAACATATTCTTAAGAAATTTATCATATTTATTAACTATGCAAATATTTCGAAATTTTAACATTTTTTTTCTAAACATAATGTCATCAGTGGAATATATTATTCCATTTTCACCAAAAATCATATTACTTATATATTCTCTTAATCTCATAGGGACCCCTTGACTATTTTTCAAAGAGATTGACAAATTTCTCCTCATGTGAAGTGTGCATAATAAATGTTTGGAAGTATTAAAATTTTTACGTAAAGCCGAAACCATGGCAAATTCTTCGTCGGATCCGAAAATAATATTCTCCACATTAATTTGGTGCTTTTTAAAAACACCCTGTAGCTCAGAAAAAAATATATTATATGTCCGGTAATCTGAATTACCGTGCAAAAATATTGGACCGAAAAATAATGGATGTACTTTATCTTTCAACCCCGTTTTACAAAGAGCTATATGCTTGAACACAGTAGGCGTCACAAAGAGTTCGCTTAAATTGTAGGTTTTATCAACGCTAAGAATACTTCGTTGCTTTCCCGTACAACAAAATTTTATATTTTCAAGCATTAAACGAGTATAAAGTACTATAGCTATAACTTTATCAGGTCTTATACATATATTTTTGATTATCGGATAATCATTTATATTATTTAAAATTAACAGAACTTGATCTGCGAAATTGCTACTATAATCGGTATCATTTTTGTGCAATTCGTTATATTTTAAGTTTCTTATTTGTTTTGTATTTCTTGGTATATTATATATATCTTTTGAAACTATAAATTCCTTGTAAATTTTTCTTGTAGGTTTATCTATAACAACCTTTTTAATTTTCTTTATAACGCTAGGAGGCGTACGAATATATATAATATTCTCATATTTCCTATTCCCATGCCTCAGTTTACCAGGATATATTCCTATGTATTCTACTAAAAAAGTAGGTTCTATTTTCAAAGAACTTTCATCTTGCAATATCTTCAAATATGATATTTTTTTTCTATATTTTAGATCCTTTTTTAATGTACAACTATATTGACATAAGCAAACTACATTATTTAAATTAGGTTGAGGGTTTATAGTACATCTATGATTAGAATTATGTATTTTTCTTAATATGTAAAATACTTTATCTATCATTATATATGGACCTTTTCTTTCGCCATTTTCTAAATCAAAATAACGGTTACTACCACCCGTTTTTTTACCTGTCCATGCTCCACAATCATCGGGGAAACAACTTTTTAAACCATCCTTATTCATTTTTAAATTAATACTATTGTTTACAATAAAAAAAGTATTATTTTTAGTCCCTTGTGGAATTGATTCTAGAATATTTTCTGGTTTCAATAACATATTCAATAATTCATTGTATGTAAATCCTTTACAATGATTCTTAGTGTATATTACACTATCAATACAGTTATCATCTAGGGAATCATGCTTTATTAGCTTATTAACCTTCATATCTTCAAAAGACTTATTTAATAATTCTTCTTTTTTATGTAAACCTTTAGAAAGGATATCTGAATATTTCACAAGATCTTCATTTAAAATATCGGATATATTAGCGGTAAAAGCCACTAAATTTTTATCTTTTATAGGCGTGGAATGTATTATTCTTTTATTATTCCACAATCTTGGTGACGGCAATTCATAATCATAGTCATCGTATATCCTTTCCGATTTAATATCCTTTATATCTGTCAAATCGACTTTATATGGATATATTGGAACAATATCTATATACTTCACAGATTGTTCAAGTGAAATATATGATATATAATATATATCTAATATATCTGTTTTTATTATTTTCAATAAATCCTCATCTGAAATATCTGAGTAATCTTTTAATATTTCTTCATTAAATTCATTTGCTTGTGATGTTTTCAAATTATTGGTAATATTATATGGTATCGATTTAACCACGGTTTTATTATCATTTTTTTTAAATGGATATATACCTAAGAAATCAAATTCTTCGCTCGAAATATATGAACCATCATCAGAGAGTGTTGGTGGAGACTTTTGAAAATCATAATAAGTATGGTCATATATATATTTATCACATTCGATATCCAAAATATCTTTATCATCATTCTTTACCCTATATGTCTTACATACAGGTTGCAGATATATTATATGATTACATAGCATTATCCCTATTGAGGTTTTTGTCCATAAAATATTAATGCCCACTGGTTGCCATATAGGTACAGATCTTCCATAAACCTCACGATTATATGGATTATTATCTTTGGTTTCATGAGCAACAATCATTTCATTTAAGTGATAGGACCCAATTCCTATCTGTAAAGCTGCGCTTGCAGCATATAAATGAGCCATCTCGGCCCACCCTTCAATCGGCGTCAAAACGTCCTTTAATAATTGATCATAAATAGTGTCCCAAATATTTAGGTCATTGTATTTTTTGCTTAATATATATAGGGCAGAATTTATATCGTATGTTGACTTATAAAGTATCATTTCTATGGCAGTTACGCATCTTATATATAAATGATGAATTTCATCACCATAAATTGCCAATGAAAGCGCTCTATAGCAGCAGTTTCCATCTCCTATGCAAGACCTAGGTGAATACCTTTTAAGTAGTTCCGGGCGAAGAGCTTCAAGCAATTTTTTAGAAATTTTATCTAATTTCCCTACATATTGATTATCATTTTCACGAGAGGGATGCTTGTAGTACATGCTAATTAAGGCTAATTCATTGTTAGACGTTGATACATCAGGGGATATTTTTAATCTCATAAATGAGTCTTCTATTTTATAACAATATCTGCAAAAATATGGTGCTTGTAATAAAGCCCAAGTTCTATAAGATTTATCAGGTACACTGAGGCAACACTTATGAACCCATGTATCACAGGTCTTGCAAATACATGCGTCAGAATTGATAACTTTTTTACATTCTTTGCAGAGTAATTTCCTATTTAAATATAAAAATTGTTTATATTAATTGTATTTATATTTAAATCAGAGATGTAGGCCCAAGCCTAAGTCCGGTCCGGGTACACGAGTCGGGCCTTATTTTATTTTTTGTAATATAAAAGGACAGCGCCTTAAATTTTTTTTAAATATTCAGGCCGGGGTTATATTTATCCAAAATTAATATGTTATTTTCAATAATTCAATATTTATAAAGGTTTCATTTATATTGATCATTTATTATAAGGTTAAATATTCCTGTTATTATACAATCAGATGAACCAATTTCTAATGTGAATCATACGTTTATTGTATATAAACATAAGCAAAGAATTATACATTCATCTAATTGTGCTACGTAAAACGATATTATAATGAATAAAGAACAATAAAGGTATTTTTTATTTTCCCCTTTAAATTTCCTAATTTATATGGTTCCACGTCAGTTTGGCCCATAGTCATAATCACTTTAGCGCGGCGACAATTCGGCGCTTATATATTACAGTTGCAATTTATTATAAATTTATTGGTATAAAAAAAGGATCATTAAATAGAAGTCATTTTAAATGTTGGTCCTATTAATTATTTCTTCATTTTTTTACAAATATCTTTTATTTACTAAATATGTGATATCAATTAAAAATTTAATAATATTTTAAAAAAATTAATAACCAATATTTATAACCACTTCCTTGCTGGACCAATTTACCACATTATAAGGTATTTTGATTATTAGCCAATATTATGTAAGCCTGAATATTTTGCGCAGTAGGAAAATTTTGGACTTTCATCTCGAATCTTACATATTATTATGGCCAAAATCTTAATCGACCGTTTTTAAAAGTAGACCCAAATCGGCCGTTTAAGAACACTAATGTTGATCCAATAAAATTAAAATTAAGACTGACTCATTTTAGATTTATTAAAAATCTAAAAAATATTTCTATTAATCATTTAAAAAAATATAAAGTATGCTTAGGCTAATTTTTCGATTTGCCTAACTTTGATCGTAAAGTCATTTGATCGTAAATTTTGTCCATTTTTTTCTGATTGGTCTATTTAATCGCGGTAAATTAAAATCATTTATAACCCTAACCCCAACCCTAACCTTAACCCTAACCCTAACCCTAAACCTAACCTATAAATTAAAAAATCGTCCATTTTGACCAAAAATGGACAAAATGGACCATTTTACGATCAAAATAATACGATCAAAGGAAACCCTCCCAATTTTTCCTATTATAAAATAATAAAAAACGAATTTACCAACATTTTTTTATTTTTATATAAATCAACTATAGAAAATATAAATATACTATATAAAACATGCTAAATAATTAACATTAATTGCAAATTAAAATTATATGCGATCCCCCTTAAATAATCATTAATCGGCGATTTAAATAGTCAGATACAATTAATATAATATTTTAAGCTATATCCCGATACACCTAGCTTGATCTCGGGTGGGATATTAGAAATATATGTTGTCTAAAATTAGACGGGAAAAGGGGGATTTAATATTAAACATAATGTTGGTTTACTATCTTATCGTTTTTATCAAAAAGGTATAATGTTTTTTTAAACTTTTATAATATCATTTTCAATTAGTAAATTTTATAATTTCAACAGCCATAATATAAATAAATTGCGCGTTAATTCGTTTTTATAATATAAAAAATTGGTCTTGGCACCGGGCCGATTTGGGTCTATTTTTAAAAACGGTTGATTAAAATTTTAGCCAAAATATTTTGTTTTATTTTGTTTGATAGAGGTCCAAACCTTTCTTACAACTATCCGCATCCAGGCTTATATAATAATGGCTACAAATCATAATAGATTAGACTGGGGTTATATAAATCCCGGGGCTTGGCATACCACTTAATAAGGTTAAAATTGTATCCTTATATAGTTTTTATTAGTTTACATCTATAGACAATAAATCTGTTGAAATATTTTATTTAATTATTACCAAATTTATATAAAAAATAAAATATTTATGAATTTTTCAAAAACTTTTTACATGACAGAATTTTAATTTCAATTAAAATATATAATCATTTTTATGTAAATTAATTCTTAGCAAAGTTTAAATACTCTACTATAATTTGGGAAAGTTTTATGAGTATTTATTATATCTAGATATTACTTCAACCATGATTAGTCAATTTAGAGCTAGACCGGCTAGCTAAACCATAAACGTCTCTTATGGCAGTTAATAAAAAAAAATTCAAAAATCATAATCTCTCCTTAAGATTCAATCTTAAATATAAAATATTAAAATATTTATTAATAGGGTCTTTTGTAAAAAACGACTTAATCTAATCGTTAAAAAAATTGAGTATACCAAATTCCACATATTTTTTAATAAAATACGAATTTCATAAATAACAAGTGACGTGTTTTAGAGGTAAATATTAAAACGCTACTTTAAATAAATATAAACAATTAAGCTGGTTCTCTGGTTTTTTGGAACTTAATAAATGGGTTAAATATAATTTTGTCAAATATAAATCACTATTTCATTGTGATAATGTTAGTTGTAATGCATTCGCGATATTGCATTCGCTGTAATGTATTCGCTCTAATACATTCGCGATAATGTATTCGCGGTATTACATTCGCTCTAATGCATTCGCTATAATTCATTTGCTATAATACATTCGCTATAATGCATTCGCGATAATCCATTCGCGATAATTCATTCGCTATAATGCATTCGCGATAATTCATTCGCTGTTATGCATTCGCTATAATATTTTCGCGGTAATGCATTCGCGCTAATATATTCGCTATGATACATTCGCGGTAATGCATTCGCTATAATATCTTTTCGCGGTAATCGACATTCGCGATAATGCATTCGCGATAATACATTTCGCGCTAAAAGTTTTGCGGTATTGACGTGATACGATTATTTATACCCATATCGATATTTTGTTTTAATAAAAATATTCATGACCCCCAGACCTAGACACGCCCATTAGGAAGAGTTTGACCTCCTGTTGAGCTGATTTTTTTATTAGCTCTCAATTGATATCCTTAGACGTTTTTAGGAGAAACTGTACGTATACGACCAATAACCTTATAACCATTATAGAGAGGTTTCGGTGATAAGATATTAAATTATATCCGTATTTGGGAAAAAATTATCAAAATTTTTATGGATTGGACTGGACTCGGAAAATATTCCTCAAAATATAGACTTGGATCTTGCTTGGGAAAATCCTTTAAAAACCATTATGGGCTGTGCTAGGAAAAAATTTTCAAAATTATTATGGGTTTAGCTGGGCTTGAGAAATTTTTTTTTTTAAATTATAAGGTTAGGGACCCTTGGAATTTTTTTCTAAATTTGTGACCTAGCAAATCGCGATTCATCTCATATTAATATTTTGAATGTATAGATAAAGATGTCATATTTTTTATCTAGTATAAAATAATGCGATAAAATGAATTAGTTATTTTACAAATAAAAATCTCGCTGTCAATCAAAAATTTGATGATATGAGAATAATATATTTTAAAAATTATAGCTTTTCAAATTTTTTAAATATGTTAAAATTTTATCAAGGGTAATTTTTTTTTCTTGTTTTTTTTTAAATATCGATCGATAAGGCCTTTTTCAATTTATAGTCAACAGTTGTTATTATTTTTTTTTTGAAATTTATAAAATATTTTTTTAAAAAGAATTTCAAAAATATATTTATAGTTTTATATTTAAAACCTCAAATCATCGAAGTAATTTGACTATAATAAACATTACATTTATTAAAATAGTGCAGAGCAGATCCGGGTCAAATGAATTTATGCCGAGCCAAAATAAAAAATCTGAGCTGTTCATAATATTTTGCATAGTATCAAAGACACTAGGTATTCGATTCGTTTATTTTATAAATATTGCTTTGTTTAATTATCACTAAACCTGGGTTCAGGATAAGTTTATAAGATTATACATTATATTTAATTTTGAAATTTTTTAGGTGTTGATATGAACTTTAACTATTACAGGGAAAAGAAAATAGAAAAGAAACCACATAATATACATACAAACATTGATATATAATGTTGATCCAAGGTAGAATTAATAATTTTTCAAATATATTTTAAATTACATAAAATATAATTTACAGGCATAATTTAAAAAAAGATTTTAGTATAATTCTTAGAAAATATTTAACCTCACTAAATATATTAAGGTTTAGGAATAAATTCTTTAAGGCTTTGGCTATGTTAAATTTTTATAGAAATAATGTAGTTTTTAATATTTTTCCTTTCAAATTATAGTTCGTAGTGATATTTTATAGATTATGGCTAAAGTTTTATTTAGATTTTTTTAGGGTAAAATGATATTTACAGGTTTATATTAACTTAATTACAAAAGTCTTCTTCCCGACTACGCCTAAAAATAATTAAATCTATATTTATCTAAGGTAAATTCAATATAATATTAATAAGGATTTTAAGATATATATATAATATAATTAAGATGTTATATCTTAGAATGAAATTGATCTGTTAATCTCATATATAAAAAGATATTTTATTTATCTTTTAATTTCTTGAACATAATTTTTAATTCTGTTAATTTTATTCTATATAAAATTATTAATAATTTTTATCATAATCCTGATATGGGGGCATTAAATAATTTCGCGATCATTGTTATTTTAATGGAGGAATATTGGAGGCGGTTATTATCAATTTCTTCTTCAATATGGAATATAGTAGGAAATACTAAATGTAATTTATAAATGCTAAGCTTGAGATATACACAAAATCATAAATATCCTTTTATTAAATTCTTATTAGCATGAAGAAATACATATAAATCTATTTTAAAATGGGTTAAGTTCTAATTAGATGTTTTTGACAAATACATTTTGTCAGGTCTACGTGAAAATAATGGTAAGAAAAAAAATTCAAAATTAAATTATATCATGAAAAATGTTGGTCATAACGTGCCAAATTCTAATATTCTAACAATTTGAAAATAACTCAAGACTTATTTTCTGAAATATACAATAATCCCTATATTCGAATGCATATATTATTGCAGTTGGATTTTTTTATTGGAGATATTCTTTATCATATTATTTTACAATGCAATCATTAATCATATATCTCGATTCCACATCATTTATTATCTATTTTAATCTCTTCCATATTCCGAAACATTACATTTGGAAGCATGCGGGGTTTATAAAAGGAGTTCGAAAGCTGATAAAGTTTAAAATGTTGCAGTTCGTTTATTATCCATATATTCATTGGTTATAATTAGCATCTTAATTTATTTGATGGGCGAAATTTTGTAGGTGTAATGTATAGTTGCTACGCTTTAATAAACATCTTTCTATATTCGATGTTCATAAAATTCAAAAATGGATCACTTTATTATTATTATTAAATTCTTATTACCATGAAGAAATATTTTAAAATGGGTTAAGTTCTAATTAGATGTTTTTGACAAATACATTTTGTCAGGTCTACGTGAAAATAATGGTAAGAAAAAAAATTCAAAATTAAATTATATCATGAAAAATGTTGGTCATAACGTGCCAAATTCTAATATTCTAACAATTTGAAAATAACTCAAGACTTATTTTCTGAAATATACAATAATCCCTATATTCGAATGCATATATTATTGCAGTTGGATTTTTTTATTGGAGATATTCTTTATCATATTATTTTACAATGCAATCATTAATCATATATCTCGATTCCACATCATTTATTATCTATTTTAATCTCTTCCATATTTCGAAACATTACATTTGGAAGCATGCGTGGTTTATAAAAGGAGTTCGAAATCTGATAAAGTTTAAAATGTTGCAGTTCGTTTATTATCCATATATTCATTGGTTATAATTAGCATCTTAATTTATTTGATCGGCGAAATTTTGTAGGTGTAATGTATAGTTGCTACGCTTTAATAAACATCTTTCTATATTCGATGTTCATAAAATTCAAAAATGGATCACTTTATTATTAATATTAAATTCTTATTACCATGAAGAAATATTTTAAAATGGGTTAAGTTCTAATTAGATGTTTTTGACAAAT